ATYTYMAWTTTWAAAAATCTCAAACCAAGATTCCGTTGGAAATGGTGTGAGTCGAGGTTTTGAAAAACTGAGTTAGTCAATAGAGTCGTGGATTTCGACTAAAAATTGTCGTTTGTACGATAGTCGTGCCGGATATGCGCCTCTCTCTCTTTTTTGAGTCTTAATGTCATTTCCGATACCTATGAATTCTGTAGTGTTTCGTGCTTTTCAGCTGCATGGGGTGACGGGTGCGGTACGACGAAGTAATGGTACGAATAAAATATTCAAAAAGCAGCGGCCGCAGCTTTTGAAACGACTGAAGGACCATTCCGAAAACATAGAATTTGGATTGGAAGTCACGAACCAGACATCCTTTTCTTACTACGAAGTAGAAGTGCTAGAGATAATCTACGTTCAACTCGGCGGAGGCGCAGAGGAATCTTAACAATTACACGAAGTTAAGCTGCGGAAAGAACGAACAATAGATCGGAGCACTCGTCGAGCACAAAAACGCCTACAAACTCCCGGGAACGATGGAAGCTGGCGGCAGCGTTGGCAACAGCCGCGATCTTCCCGTGGCTAGAAAGGCGTCGCCAAGTACCAAAAAGAACCACAAAAGCCGAGATCACTACAAYGACTCGAATCGAGAAATCGATAAGGAGCACCTGGCAAAATTGTTGCGGGCGAGCGCGGATATCGTCGAAAAGGGTGAGTTTGCTTCTGTCCTATAYGAAGCCCTCCAGGATTTCCGGGTGTACTACAAACAAAACTACCCAAAGAATCACAAGAAAAAGAAGCACAGTAGCAAACACGGTCAGCAGAGCCTTGTGCGAGAGAATTCGGGCAATTCTCACCTGACCGCAGGTTCCGAGAAAACAAATTCCGAAAGCTCGGAAATTTTGAAGGATCTAAAGCATTCRGAAGAGAACGCACCGAAATCGGCCCATGCAGCGCACCATGTAGACACAAAGGAAGACGCAGAGAGTGACACATTGCATGGGAACAAAGCAAATGCTTCGCATGATGCTGAGTCCCCCGAAGAGACTGGTGCAAACCCCGATAAGGACGACGGTGATACTGCTGGTGCAAACCATTCCGCGAGCAGGCATGAACAAATGAAACCAGAAGTTTCTGCTCCATTTGATGAGGAGAAAGTTGCAGAGAAAAAGCAGCCGTCTCCMGAGGAAAGTGAAACTACCGAGGAAGACGAAAAACCCGGTGGAACCGAAAGAGCATCTGTTGCCTCTGTGGTTCCTCCGTCACCATATTTTGCACGAAAATTGGCAAAACCGATCCAAGTGGAGAAAAAAGACACAGTCCCCGAACACTACGTTGTTGCGTCTGGAGCTGCGGCTGCGGCTTCTCCCACCCATCAATCCAACAACCGAGCGTTTGGAAAGAAATTCAATCTCGGGGCGACATTCAAGAACGTGAAAAAGGCCGCCATGAATGTGACCGAAAACATCAGCGAAAAAATCCCGGGCAAAGCTCACCACCACAACAAACCAGCAGAAGATCTCGGGATTTTCTCCGAGAGCGGCATTGCCATGGCTGAATCCTCGGGCCGTCGGCGGTCTGAGGGAGTTGGAAACGACGAGTTCGGAAACGCGGAATTTCAGTCCCGCGTGACTGGTGGTGAGGCGGGCGTGACCGCTTCGGCAGGTCATAACGCTTCAGAACAAAAGAATGACAAAAACAGCTACCAACAATTTTCGCACGAAGTTGGAAGCAAGAGTGCCCCTCCGAAGCCTCCCCTCAGCAGAACAGGACCGGCGCTCTTTGAGTCTCAGAGGTTTGTGGAGCAATCACCACCAAAGCAATTTGAGTCGACTCCGGAGGATCGAAGCGGCAAGAGCATTGGCAGTCACGACTGTTCGGAATCTGACGGGATCCRGGGAGGGTTCGARACTTCCCCGGCCGTACCAGACCGTATTATGGAGCTTGGAGGCGGCGGCCTGATGTCCAAGCCATCCTTCCAGCGACCTGCCAATAAGGAATCCGCGTTGGTAGCAAATGGATGGATCGAACAATTCCGACGGTCGAAAATGAGACACGTTTGGAAGGAAGTTCTGGCGAGTCTCGTGGAGGGTCGAAAGCCGGGAGAAGTGACCACGCTGTGGATCCAGCGAGAGGTAGCGGATCCGATCACCGGTCAGAAAAAATTAGAAGCTCTGCATCGGATCCCCCTCAAGATGTTGGAGGACGTTTCACTGACCGAACACAGTACAGACAATCAGTTCCGTCTGAAACTTTTCAASGGCACCGAAGACTTTGTCTTTCGTTGCAGTGACGCTCCGATCGATGCCATGAGGTGGGTTCAAATGCTGAAACAGCACGAACAGCTGGCGAAGGGAACTATAAAGAACGCAACGAACGGTTATCACAAAGAAAGCAATGTTCCGGTACAGCAGCAGCGTTCTCCGACTACGAAAGGAATGGCAATTCGCGACCTGAGAGCCATTTGCCACGGAGCGGGGATCAACACGGCGGGAATGGAACGCGCGCAACTGGAAGCTGCCGCGGCAGAGGTTCAAAGCCGGGGAACCTACTTCGATCAACGGGGAGCACCTACAGCACCTTCGCCTGCCCGGTATCCGACACAACAGGAAAAACAACAGCACCAACCGTCGCACTATCCACAGCCCGTACAGGCCGACCACAGCAACGATCACGCTAGAAATGCACCTGCCAGCTCTGCAGAATACCCGCAGCAGCAGCAAGAACAGCAGCAAGCCGAACCAAAACGCCTTGCGATCAAAGACCTGCGTGCCATCTGCCACGGTGCCGGAATCAATACAGCAGGTATGGAGCGTAGAGAACTCGAGGCTGCGGCCAGGGAGGTAGAAAGCCGTGGAACATACTTTCCTAGCACGATTGCGGGTACACCTGCACCTTCCGAGGAGGAAACACGAGCCCGACAAGAGGAATACAGAAGGCAGCAGCTACAGCAACAAGAGGAATTGAGAAGACGCCAGGAATCTGATGCAGCACTGAAACGCCACCAACAAGAAGTGGAAGAGTCACGCCGCAGGGCAGCCGAAATGGAGGCGCGGCGGCAGGAAGAGGCCCGTCGAAGGGCGATGGAAGAGGAACAGCGCCGCAGGGCAGCCGAGGAAGAAGCGCGGCGGAGAGCGGCCGCGGACGAAGCTCGCCGCAGAGCCGCCGCAGAGGAACAGGCACGGCGCCAACGGGAAGCCCACGTGGCGCAGGAGCGATACGCCCAGCAGCAGGCAGCCTGGCAGCAGCAACAGCAAGCGGAGCAGCAGCGCCGGCACCACGCCGAGCAGCAAGCTGCCCAGGAACGCAGGCGTCGCGAAGAAGCCATGAGGAAAGAGCAGCAGTGGGCTGCCGCAGCCCCGGGCGCTCATCCGCAACAGCAGTGGCAGCAACAGCATCAGCAACAATACCAAGCCTATTCACAGCAGCAGCAGCAACAGCAACATCCGCCCCAGCAACGCTGGCAGCAGCAACAACAACAACAACAACAACAACAACCACACCAGCGCCCACCACCGCAGCAGCAGGCGCCACCTCGTGCTCCTCCGCCCCAACAACAGCAGAAGCAGAGTTCGGGTGCGGACAACAAGTACGCCCAAATGGCCAATCAATCGGAGGACGACGGCCAAGCCGCAATCACAAAAATCAAGCACAGCATTTTGATTTCCTGGGCCCTGCAGCCTCCACAGCTCCAGATGCTGAGACCCATCGCCGCGCTGGTGACCACGATTCACACCGTTTTTCCGCCCGCTCTTGGGGTTGCGGGACACGACTACTTCAAGAAGTGGAAGCCCATCGGCCGCGAGGACGTGGCCGGAGTGAACGGACTGCCGGAGGACTCGAAGCTGAAGAAATCGGTGCGCAAGATCCGCTTCTTTCTGCACCCCGACAAGCTACCCCACGACCTGAACGAGGAGCAAAAATTCATGGTGAAAATGCTGTGGGACGTTACGAACGACTCGTGGGAAGAATACCAGAAGCACAAGGAGGACTTGGACTGGGTCAACTAATCGATAGCATTGCCGCACTGCGCTGCCCTTCATTCGTTACGAAACGTTTGGTCGATGCGCGTAACTTGTATTCCCTGCGCATTGAAACGTCGCACGGAACGAGTCTTCTTCCGACCGAAGAAATGGTACCGCTCGAAACCTCTTTTGGAAAGWTGGACTTTAGGAAAGTGTTCTCCGGTCGGCATAGCACGGTGTGGTATTATACAGAGAATCGTCGAGATGGGAGGTCTTCCCAGCATCTCAATGACATAACTAAAAATAATRAATAATGCAAAGATTTCACCGTCAATGAAACCGCGGCTTCGGTTGTATCGATCTATATTGACCCGATGGGTTGCGCTACGACTCGCCATAGTGCTACACGTGTGAGAACCAACTTGTCTTGTTTCCCTATCCAGTGAATCCAACTCGTAGCGCGCCCTTTCGAAAAAAAATTCGTGTCGGTGCTGGGGCGCTGTTGGTATAACTGTTGCATTCGTAGCAGCGGTWTGTTTGTAAAGATTGTTTGTTATTACTGTATTTAGTCCGTGTGTAATGTTGCGCGCATGACGAAAAGGTGTGGGCAGTAGGGTGGTGGTTGGTTCTGTCTCGGTGCGTACGAGATGTTGGTGGTTGGTTCCTGAATCGCGTTGCCGTTTACACCTTGAGCCAGACTCCGGAGGTGCACTTGAAACCGGATCCAAAGGCCACTTGCATGATGCGGTCTCCCTTTTTCAATGGGTTGTTCCGTTGGTGGTAGTGAATGTATTCGAGTTCGTACCAGATGGATGAGGAACTGGTGTTGCCGTAGTTGTACAAGGCCATTCGGGAGGGTTCCGTGTGGTATTCTTCTAGCTTGAGGTTTTTCTCGATTCCTAGCAACGACGACCGACAAAACAGAAAAGCACGTGTTGTGAGGTGGAGAAAACAAAACAAGGATGACGATCGATTWTTCTGCAGTGTTTTGTGCCAGCAAAGAAAAGAAAATAAAGCAAATACTCACCGTCAATCACGGCTCGTCCACCGGCATGGATGCAAAAGTGATCGATGCCTCGCTTGAAATCCGGCACGAATGGCTTGACCTTTGGCAGCTTAGCGGCGGCGTCAGGACCGACCATCTTGCCAACCGATTTCAACACATATCGCAGAATAATGCTCCACACCACCTTGGCCTGTTCCGAGAGCGGCAAGACGGAAGGGCCAAGCATGGTAAAGTTCTTTTCCATAGTCTTTCCGGCAACCTTGACAATGTCCTTCGATAGACGGACACCTCGTTCTCCGTTCTCGTCTTCCGTTTCAAACACACACTGGTAGGCAGCTTCTCCGCTTCCCTGTACACGAACCGTGTGCAAGAGCTTGTACCAGGCCCGTCGACCGTCCATCCAGTTGTTGGAAAGAACAAGGGCGGCTCCTCCGCATCGGAATAGAGTGTTCTGGATCAAGAATCCGCGTTCGTTACCATGGTACAAATTAGGGGTGATTACCTCGGTGGAGACAACCAAAGCCTTGCGGGAACCCTTTCTTCCGAGCAGTTTCTTTGCCAAATCCACACTGATGAGGGAAGCACTGCATCCCATTCCCGACAAATTGTAGGTTTCGACATCGCTTCGCATTCCGAATTCAGAAACGACCATGGCACAAAGAGATGGCGTTGGCGAGAAGAGCGAACAGTTGATGATCAAGACATCGATTTCTCTTGGTTTAACGTTGGCCTTTTTCAGGGCTTTTTCTACAATATCGAAAATTACGGTCTGCGCTTCTTGCCTGCTGGCCTCGATAGAGCGATCGGTTTTTTGGTRTTTGGACGGGTCGTCTGGGTCGGGTTTCAAACACTTCGTGATGCCCGGTGGCCACGCTGTGGCGGGTCCGGTTCCGGATCGATCCAAAATACGTCTCAAGAAATTCAAAGACTCCTGGGAGAAGCATTCCTGTCTCTTCATCATTTCCATGATTTCGTCCTGGTTGCATTTCCAGTCKTCGGGTGCCTTGAAGGTTTCGAACGACAACAAATAAATGGGAGAATCGCGACGGACCATCCAAGCTGCAACTACCAAGATGAGGGCTGTGGTCTGSACAGCCGGAGAAAAGATATCAAACCCCTCGCTTTCGGCAATGGCTTTGTAGAGACGAACAAATAGTTGCTTRGTGGCGTTGGCCACGACCGTTATGGTCTCGATCGATAGGGTTGCTCCTTCATCTTCGGGAAACAGATCGTTCACAACCTGGTAAATAATCTGTCCCACAAGGACGATAAGTCCGAAMATTAAGATAGCAGGCGCATCCGTCGAGAGTACATGGACCCAGTTGATCATTCTGCAAGGATGGACCATTTGTCGCGTTTTTTGTGGTAGAAAGTTTGAAATTGATACCAAATCACAGATGGAAAATTMAATCACAGACAGAAGGAGCAAAAATGAACAGGAGAAGAATAGAAATGATGAGTTTTCAATTTTGCGTTTGCAAGAAGCAGCAAACCGACTGCGCCGCACRGGTCGTAGTGGCTGCTGGACTGAACTCGGCGGCTCAAAGAAATGTCATCAAATGCGTGACGAGGATACAACACACAAAAACATACCCAATGAGAGTCGACTTTCGGGTGGTGTAATCATTCGATACTTTCTCGTCTTTGCTTTCGACACTGATATCTCCCATGGATCCGACTCGCTTGATAGGTTTGCTGGGGAGTTCTCCGGCGCCTCCTTCGGTTGCGGCTCGCGGTGGCATCTTTGTTGCTTCTCGTTGATAGGTACGTGATACTGCGAATGGACGTCTTTCTCGATMTGTTGCGGCGCTTTCTTTTAGAAGGATACGTTTCCACCTTATTTCTGCAAAATAGGATTTGCAGTTCAGTTGGATACTGTATTGTGGAAAGCRATWGGGTAGACAGTTCTTTCGATACACTGGCAGACAGAGGTTGGGATCGACAATTTGTTCGGACGTATTGGATGGATGATACCCAAATCCTCGTATTTCAGTGTCGACACGAAGAAAGAACAAAMGAGTATCATCACMTGCGCCCATCGACCACTATGGATGCTGTCGTCGTCTCCTTTACCCTAGCGAGTGTCGACATACTTGTCTGATTGTTTTACGTCATCGTATCGCGCGTCCAAAAAGATCAACAAATTCGCGCGAACGAGCATATTTGTAACATGTGACGTGTGTAC